CGTCCCCGTGTCAAGGTAGGGTCGCAGCCGAGCAATCCGCCAAAGATGGAAAAAGGCGGTGCGGACTACCGACGCCACCTGGGATTCCATGGTGAGCGTCGGGTCCAAGTGTGTGCCCAGGCTACGAACCCCACTCTTTGCGGCCAAGGTGACCCCCCCAAACGTGAGAGAGTCACCCAAGCCACCTACCACATAGCGAGCATTCAGACTGCTCTGTTTAATAGCATGGAACTTGCATACATGCCAGTAGGGCACACAGTTCTTAGTATCTCCACCATTTCAACTATGATATCATTCACGTCCCCAGGCAGGGCTCAGTGAGAAAGCACAACCTTCCTGTTTTGGGACAGGGTGCAGATAATAAGGCATGGGTGCAAAAATCTACCAATTTATTTTGTATTGTTAGAAAGGGGTGGCTGAGGCGAGAGAAAGAGAGGAATCAAAACCTCTGTTCCAGATTCGGCTTGAGAACACTCCAAATAATCTTTGGCCCCATCTGGAAAAAATGAAGCAGGATTTTTAAAAACGTGATGTCATTAAGAAAACATCTGACATTTTAATGCTGATGAAGGCCAAATTCAAGTATGTGACTGCATAGAGGGAGGTGGAGAGTGGGATGCAAATTGAAAGCAGTCCCAGACTACCCTGACCCATGGAGCCTGCCTTAATGCATAAGTCTCGAAAGAAATTCTCTTACATACACAATAAGCTCCCTCTTTCATCAATACTCAGTTCTCTCCCAACAGGATTGTGAATGCCTTTGATGCAGGCTTGAAACCGTGTATTGCTTGGTTTATGGCCCTTTTGAGTCTGTTCTGATCAAACCAGGAGGCCAACATCTAAAGCCCATTAACAATATCCAGTGCTTGCTTTTTATTTTCATTATGTTGGAGAAGTTAAGTCTCACGAAACAGACAATCTCTACATCGCCCAAAAATTAGAGTGTAAGGCGGTGGGATCAAGGTTTCAGCTACCCACACCGTAATGGCGTGGGTAAAGAGGGATTATTTTCCTATTTTGCAGAATGTTGATTTTTAAAAAAGAGGGATTTCCTACAGTAGGGATGTCCTTTGGATTTGTAATTTATTCAGGAAATATAGCGAAGTGGGAGTAGTTGTCCATTTCCAGTCCCATCCAGAACGAAGTGAGGAAGCCTACACAGGGCCTTAAATGGGGTGTGTGCCCCCCCCAAGTGCTGAATTTTGGAGGTTCTAAATCCAGAGAGGCTGCTTTCATTTTAAAAGATCCAGGAGTTACTGACAGCTGGGCATCGATGCCCCGCAGTGAGCAATATGGATTCATAGAAAGGTAGGATCTGGGTGAAGACAAAATTGCTCAGCTCCGGATGTGGGTGGGGTGGGGGAAGGAGAGAAGAAAGCAAGGAAACTGGTGGGACATTTACCTGCACCCTAGAGGCTGGGCAGTAGTTGATGGCAGTGAACTTCACTCTCCTCCATCTCATGTCTGAGCCCTGTATTTTCTCCCTTTTAATTGTTTTTTGGGTGTTTGTTTTTTTGCTAGTTGGTCAAATGCAAATACATACAAATAAGAATCGGCTGGGCTGCAAATTGGCTGAAAACAAATTGTGCGAGGCAAATAAACTGGACCAGAATGAATTGGATATGGTATTCACAAACAATTGGTTTACAGAAGAATGGGGGAACACCTGGCACAAATGCCTGGAATTATCGCACAGAGGGAGAATCCACCAACATTTGAAAAACCAGGATAGTCCTGCCAACTGTTTCTGCCGGGAAGTGAATCCTTCTTTAACACTGAGGAAGAGACAGCATCCCCCACTATATCAGAAGTCAGTAGCTTTGTTTAGGGGATAAAGTGGAGGCTGCATAGAACATTCCCTTCTCTCATGCCTTAGTCTCCCAACAAGTACTGCTGAGATCATGATCCATACTGGTCCAAAGCACACTCTCTTCTAATCCCCCTTATTATCACTTGGTATTTACCCCAAAGAAAAAGCCAGTGTGAGCCTGAACTATGCAATAATTCCCTATTGCTATTAAGTGAGGCCACCTTCCCCCACAATTATAAAACGAACTT